CACAAAATTTCTATCAACCTAACTAAAACATTCCTTTTCCTTGTTTCTTTTTTTTTTTTTTTTTTTTTTTTTCCTGTTACCATGGAGTTTTCCAATTCTCTTCTGTTTTTTTTTTTTTTTTTTTTTTTTTTTTGTTTTTTTTTTTTGTTTAACAAACGCTTTAGCAATGTAATATATTTATATCTTTCTCCCTATTCTGGAGGACCTTTCTGAAGGATTGTTACTGAAGTAGGAAGCGTGGAACTATCTGAACCATCCTCATAGTGAGTTTTTATGACTGTAAGATTGTAAATACAGATTATTTATTAACCCTGTTCTACCTGGAATTAGATTGCATATGGGAAATGTTTGCGAGCAGGTAGCTGAGGTGGACCAGCAAGTCTCTCCAAAACCAGGCCTACAGAAGCTGCTGCTCTTCGTTTTGGGGCTGGGGATGAATTATTTGGACCCCTTTGGCTTTTCCACTTTGTTTTCTCTGTCTTGTCAAGTGGAATTAGGTGGCTGCCCATTTGCACGTTTCTCCTTGTAAAGGAAGCCACAACACTCTAAGGCTAGTCCATGCCTCCTCTTGCAACCATTTCCAGGGAGAAGAAAATATAATCACCTTTCTTTTTTTATTATTACTATTATTTTCCCAAAAGAGAAAAAAGGTGGAACTTATATACAAATATTACCTCATTTGTTGTGTGACTGGGTAAAGAATTTTGGATCAAGAAGAAAGAGTTTAAGCGTCAATAAACTTAAAACTACTGTCGTGTCTAAAAAGTCAGTGTTGTATATAGCATAAAAAGCCTTTGCTGAAGACGATCCCAATAAAGAAATAGCTTTGAAGTGTTAAATATGATTTCTCAGTTCTGGGTTTTTTTTTTTTTTCCTATCATCTTGTACACCATTGCTTTATTTTTATAAATTATTTTCTCATTGCCATTGGAATAGAGATCTCAGACTATGTAGATATGCTATTTAAATAATTTATCAGGAAATACTGTCTGTAGAGTTAGTATTTCTATTTTTATATGTTTGCACACTGAATTGAAAAAAAAAAATGTTGGTTTTCCTTGTTTTAGTTTGTTTCTTTGGGTTTTTTTGTTTTTGCTTTTTTTACTCCCCAGTTTTTACTATTTGCCAATACCCTTTTTTTCTAGGAATGTGCTTTTTTGTACACATTTTTATCCATTTTACATTCTAAAACAGTGTAACTTGTATATTACTGTTTCTTATGTACAAGGAACAACAATAAAACATATGGAAATTTATATTTATACTTACTGTGTCCATGTTTATTCTGTTCTTTACTGTCTGGCTATCACAAAAGCCATTCTTAACCAATCATACATATACAGCATGACAGGAAATAGCATTCATGGTTCCTATATGGCTGACAGACACTAGACTCAGAAACACATTTGCTGTATTTCTGGAAGAAACAAAAAAAAAAAAAAAAGAATGGGTCTGCCACATGAAACCCTTAAAATATAAACGACCCAAATGACCCTTGAGTCACAAGTTCCCAAAGAAAACATTTCATATTTTACTAATATTAGGTGTTTTGTGTTGAATCCCCAAAGTTCAGTTGTTTCTAAAAGGAACAGTAGTGACAAAGGAAAGGACAGCTGTGAGAACATGTGATTCTCCCTGACCCTGAGTGATGCAGCAGGATCACAGGATAGCAGCTCTCAGAGAAGTGAGAGGGAGGAACTGTCCTAGGCCTTAGCCTAGTGCTCAAGACAATAGTTTGCAGAATACATACTTTGGGTCAGAAACAGGAAAGTAAAGAAATGCAAAACTGGAGCTAAAGAGATGGCTCAGGAATTGAAAAGATTAAAGTGTCTGCTGCTCTTGCAGAGGACCCTAATCACAGCATCCCATGTGGGCAGCTCACCATCACCTGTAACACTGCTTCCAGAGGATCTGATGCCCTGGCCTCTATAGGCACCTGCACTCAACATTCACAAACCTACACATACACACACACACACACACACACACACACACACACACACACACCATTTTGATCATTTTCTTACAGCAATGCAAATTTTGGAAGGTATGTACATGAGGGTGAAATTATTTAGTGAAGAGAAAACACTATTCAGTTCAAATTCTAAGCAGACTTTGAATCTTGGATGGATTAACCATGGATGTGGAGACCCAGCTAATTCCTAGTAAACAGATCAATGAAGAAATCCTAGTAGGTGAAGGATGGCTTTGAGGTCTGGGAAACACTGGAATCTGCCTCCCTGGCTGATGGTCTCTATTGCTGTAAACCACTGACCTGGGTGGCACAATGACAGATACAAAGTGTCCCATCACCCTACAGACCCAGTGAAGCAGCGAGAGAAAATGATCTGACACTAATGACAATCTGAGATGTGGCGTCAGTCCCTCCCAGGTCGCTCCATATGTGGATCCCTGGAGGAGAATTCTACTTCATTTTTAGCAAAATGCTGCAGCAGCAAAGCTGGTGGAGAATGCCAAGGTGGGGCAGAAAAGGCAGCCAGGCCAGAGCTTTTAGGCCAGGCTCATTCCATTTCACTGTAAGAACGGCCTTCAGATTAGAGATTTGTTAAACTCTAGAATTACATCATCAAGAGGGCAGAATTTTGACTCATATGGGAGTTTATTGCCATGTGCTCTGGGACTGTTTGGCTGAAAGGCCATAAACTAGGTCCTGGAGAATTTACAACCAAGGTGGTGTTGGTGGCTTACTAAAGAGTCCTGTCTAGAAAAACTATACTACAGCCCCTGAATTCTTTCATAACGCACTCTCTCTGTCTCTCTCTCCCTCTCTCCCTCTATCTCTCTCTCTGTTTCTCTCTCTTTTTCTCTCTCTCTCCCTCTGTCTCTCTCCCTCTGTCTCTCTGTCTCTGTTTCTCTCTGTCTCCTCTCTCTCTCTCTCTCTCCTATAATTTTTATTCTTGTTCTGGAGAAAACACCCCAGCTTGCCAGAAAGCAGAGAGTGGCGCGGTGCGGTACAGTGTGGTGCGGTGTGGCTTGTTTGGTTTGGTTTTGAATCAGAAGACTGCCTGTTAAATTATACTGTATTTCTTGCTTTTCCACCCTTTCAGCTGGCACACTGTGGAATGATGTTATTCCCTTTAATTAAAAAGTTCATCATCAAATGGCATTATCTCCTTCCCCCTACCTAACTCTGGCAGAAGCCGGGCTTCTTGTGCCTCAAACACCATCTGCCGAAGCCTCTGTAAATCATAAGCCTGTGACATTCCCACAGAAATGGTCTCTTTCCTGTTTCTCTCTTAGCTCACATTTTCTCTCTCTTCTCTTTCTGTGTCTCTGTCTCTCCATTCCTCCCTGTCAGAAACATAGCTCAAATGCAAGAAATGCATGAATTCTTCTGAAAGGCTGGCAGGCAATAATGGCTTCTGTATATCTACCCCAAGTGCCCACCATGCCACCCCTGTCCTCTGATTGTTCCCACCAAACTCTTCAGTACCTGGGAGTGCTGGAAATCATTCTGAGAGAACCTAAAATCGTGATTTGTTCAACTTTGGTAGACATCACAGCAAAGCTCAGGAATTAAGATAAATCCCACTGTAGAACATGGACATCAGTGTGTGCCATTGCTATTTTAAATGGATAAATAGTAGGCTGAGGGTGTGGTTTGGTGGTAGAGGGCTTGACTGGCATGTACAAGGTCCTGGGTTCAATCCTCTACTTCAGAAACAAAATCAACAGAAATGAACAAACAGCAAACTGAAACAGGAAGACAGGACAAAGACATCCATGGGATATGACTGCCCTTGAAAACAATAGCTATAGAATTATTCATTTCAACAAATCAGGAAAATATGTAAGCAATCATTAATGTCAAGCAGGGTCAGCAAGCAAAGGTGTGTTGACAAAAATGAACAATGCTGTACATGTAGTGATCCCAACTGTATTAAAGTCAGGACCACAGGCAGCTTATTATGAATTAGGAATGAACTATTCTCCCAACTAGGAGGCCAACTCAATGTACATGTGTGGCTGTAAAAGCTTCTCATGAGATCAGATCCCTGATTCAGAACCGGACAAACATTCTCTCTTGAAAAAGTGCTACAGACTTTCTTTTAATAAGGTTCACCTTTATTCCCTGAATGTTAAAAGACCCACACTCCAGAAGAACACAACAGACTGGGAATAATAAATAACTTATCACACTGCAACTTCAGAAAGGTGTCATCTGGCTCAGCGGTTCCAAGCACTGGTCACTCTACCAGAGGACCCGGGTCCAATTCCCAGCACCCACATGGCAGCTCACACCTGTCTGTAACCCACCCCAGTTCCAAGGGGATCCAACTCCCATGCAGGCAAAATAACAATGTGTATCAAATAAAAATAAGTAAGTTATTTTTAAAATGTACTTATTTAAAAAGGAAAGGAAGGGCATCACCACTAACAAGAGACTGGGCCCTGCTGACTTTCCTTTGCTGTGGGAACTCATTTCTTCCCAAGGTGAGCTGGACTTATTGGCAAGCATAAAATGGGCACAGAGAAGGGAGAAATGGGGCAGAACAGCAACCCATGGTGGCCACAACCCACCTGAATAACAGAAAGTTGAAACATGTAAAGCCCAATACAGTGAGCTAGAGATACAACTTAGTGACAGAGTATTTGCTTCTGATACATGAAACCCTAAATTCAATCCCCAGCACTGCCCCCAAAAGGATCAAATTGAAAGCAATAAGCTCCTGTCCACTAGACTCACAGTGTGTGTGTGTGTGTGTGTGTGTATGTGTGTGTGTGTATGTGTGTGTATATGTGTGTGTATATGTGTGTGTGTGTTACAATATTGACTTTTATAAAGTATCCTTGAGATTGAAACATTATCGACACATTTCTGAACAATTTTCCCAGGAATTTCAATGAATAAAAACAGCAAACATTCACACCCAAATTTCAAAAATATCAAAGGAATGTAATCAGCAAAGAAGGAATTCAAATGTTGAAATCTTTGAGGAATAGTCTATGATGCATTCATTGAACACAAAGAATTCAGGGGAAAAAAAAGTATATAATGCAACTTGATTTTCAACTTTCTTAAGCTTAAACCCCAAAGAGTCATGCTTCACATTCCTCTGGTTCATCCACAGCATCTCCAGTCTCCTGTTCATCTGCTAATAAAATAACCACAGTGATTATACAATCAAAAACACATGCATAATTAAGAAAAATCATTCTCTCTCTTAAACATTTGGTCATTTATTCTGATGTACAATATAATGACCAGAGTCCATTTGCTATTATAGAATAGAGTCACTACAAACTGCAGACGAAGCCCACGGGAAAATAAGGTGTCTGTCTTCACTGGGGTTGTAGTTCAGAAAACAAATGAGGGTTGGAAGATTGATGATTTAGGGGAGGATATCAAAATCACTTTTTTTTGTTTGTTTGTTTGTTTTTGTTTTCTACTAAGTTTCTGAGGAGTAGGCTGGAGCCAAAAGTAAATGCTATATGTAGGGTAGATGAGGGCCAATTGCCTTTTTTCTCTTAAAAGAGAGGAGGAAAGTTAGCACAGAAAAAGGTAGGACCACAATGAAATCAAATAAAAGAAGACAATAAAAGAGGAATTGGGAGAAAGATGTAAAAAAAAATAAAACTTTCTGCCAATTCCTCAAAAGATTACCATTGGCCGGGTAATTCCACTCCTAGGTTTATGCCCAAGCTGGGGGGAAAAAAACATTAAAAATGTCCAATAAAAACTCATATGTGAATATTTATAGCAGCATTATATGTAATAGCTGAAAAGTGGCTAGGGCCCAAGGGCTCATCAACTAATGAACAGATAAATAAAATGGGCTATATCCATACAAGGGAATATTAATCAGAGTAAACAGAGCAGAGCAGGGACACATGCTGTCAGATGGGTAAATCTGGAAAACACTGCTGAATAAGAAGCAATCATAGAAAGTGTGTGTTATAACTCCACCTACAGGAAATACTCAGAGTATGCAAATTTACAGGGGCTCAAAATAGAGAAATGTAATGACATTATAGTGACAAAGAAGTATTAAACAAAATGTAGAGTTGGGACAAATAAGGAAGGGACTATATATAACATCACATGCATGCCCTGTGCTTTGTGAGTTTGAGTTCTTCTCTGTGAGTAGTCAAATCCCACCCAGTGAAGAGCTATTCATCCTAGGGGACTGACCTTTAACTCTACCTCCCATCTCCCCAGCATTCATTGTTCCTTCTGTAATGTCAACCAACTCAATACTTAACTTCAATTTTGAGTCTATGTGACTAAAGAAACAGGAATCGGGAGAGAAATGTGAAGTAAAAGGGAAAGATGAAAATGAATGTGGGGTTGTCAAGTTGCCAGGCAGGCAGTTAGGAACATGTGATTGGGGTGATAACTCAAAATCAACCAATCATAGACCTCAAAGAGAATAGACTGACAAAAAGACAGACATACGATAGATAGATGATAGATAGATAGATAGATAATGTGTTTTAGAGTAGATTGAATTAGAGATTAAAGTTTAAGATGTTTAAATAGGCCCATAAATTATGACATCAATTTCTGACATGGATAAGTAATTGATTATTTATTTATGTTAAAAACTACCCATAGTGATTGATTCATGCTATTTGTACTGTTATAAAATGCAAGAGTGAACCATGGCATCATGTCTGGAAATATAAGAGTGGTTTCTGGGCAGATATTTTACATCTGAGCCTAATATTTTACAAACCCATTCCCTGAAAGAAAATTTTATCACTAAAGTTTAGAAGTTGAAATCTTTTAAAATTACTTATCACCATTCAAAATACTTTTTTTCCCTCTAAAATCAACAGTTTTCTGGATGCCAGAATTATAATGAAGGATAATACATTCATAAGAGTGTTAGCCTCTCCTTGGCCTCTTAAGGACATTGACAAATCCACGCCTATGTTTGCAGGCTCCTAACAGCAGCATCTGGGGCTCACAATATCCTTATGTTAAGATGATTATGAGAAATGTTCACAAAACACATGCCCTCCAGCCTACCTACTGCTGGTTCCTCCGGATGGTTGAGTTTCAGCTGTTGGTCATCTGAGGAGGCGTTCACAATGATGTCATCCAGGGGATCATCCAAGAAAGGGGGCTTTTTCAGTCTCCCAATACCAACAGTCTTTGACATAAAATAGTCTGCTGCATCGTTGAAAGTCTCCTCCTTGGAGAACTGGAGGCCTTTCATGGCCTCCACTTCAACGACGAGAGCTTCTGCTTTGTAATGCCCAGCCAAGGCTTTGGTGAGATACGAGCCTATGGCAGGTCCACATCCCTCGTTCTCAGGCCTGTTTGCATCATCTAGCTGGGTTTTCTGGACCTGGGCTTCTGACTCATCTAGTAACCCACAGACAGTGGATGGGCAAAGCTGTGGGGGCCCAAGTGATGCATCAATACCTTCGTCTTCTCTGTCAGAAGGAAGGCCAAGAGGGATGCATTTCTGTTGGGATACACACTCCTCCAGAAGACACTTCAGCTGTTCCTCAGAGAGATGTAATGTGGAGTTTAACTGATGAAGCAAAACAAAAGTTTCCATAGTCAGTTGGCTGAATAACATGTTTATTCTGGGTAACCATCCAGGAAATACAGTAGAACTTCAAGTGTCAGGAAAGCCCACACCCAACACATGAAAACAGAAAACTAAGTTGTTTTGAAGTGTCCAAAGTTGTGGGATGCTAAATAGTAACCTACAGAATAAATTCAGAATTGATTGACACAGGAGTCTGGAGGATGGAACCCTACAGCACTGATACAAATGAAGCACTGCACCAAACACTGGCACTCTCCTCACACAGAAACAACTGGGACTGAAGATGAAGTAGCTTTCATTGGGTCACAGGAAAGGGATCTCACCATAACCCCCAGTCTGAATCCCTCTGTCTCCACCCAGTCCTCCATGGGTGGCTACATGGCACTCAGTTCTGAAACCGGGGGAAACCAGGACCAATGGCACTATTCATGTGTCTGTCTACAGTTTTCAGGAGACAATACTGCCGAGGACAGAAAAGGAAGGCTTAAGGTGTGGCCCATCCTGAGATGTGGGGTTGTTTCAAAGGCACAGGCTGAGGAAGGTACCAGGGGCATTTCCAGAGCAGTGCATTCAGGTAGAAAGGTTTGATCACACATACTCAACCTCTGCTTGCAAAGATCATCCAGGGCTGAGTATTTTAAACAAGACATGAATTTAAAAACACACATTTCCTTACAGTCATGTGTCACCACACCTGGTTTATACAACACAGACTTGAACCCAGGACACTGTATGTGCTAGGCAAGCATCCTACCCTCAGAGTGATTGGTGTGCACTGACTGTATGTGTGAAACTATCTAAAAACAAAAGTAATTAACTTTAAAAACCCACAGTTTTCTTCCAGGGATGTTGTGAGGAAACACAAAAATGAAATGGTTCAGAAAGGAATAGTTTTCCTTCAATAAAACACACTGAAAAAATGCCCTCCTCCAATAAGTCAGCATTTAAAAACATGGAGGAAAACACTAGCTAATTCTCATATCTGACAACAAGAAGGCCCCATAGGAAAGCTTTCAGTTGCAAAGGCTATAACTTCTGCCTCAGCAATGTTCTCTGCCTACTGTGAAAATGCACAAAGGGATGAGAGATGTAGCTCAGTGGGAAATTACCTGACCAGCATGTACACACACGCATACACACACACACACACACACACACACACACACACACACACACACACACCAAACCAAACCAAAAGAAGCAGCTGTATATGTGTATGTTGTATATATAAATGTACAGTACTGGTTGTTCTATGTATTATTAGAACAAGCATAATTAACTCCCTACTCTTTCACACTCCTCAGGCAGCTAACAAACAGTATATAGTAAGGTAAGTTTTACATCGTGCTTTTAAAATGATCATATATTTCAAATGATATTGAGCTAATCTGTAAAACTCAGTGATTTCAGGCATGGTTATGTATGTCTTTAATCCCAGCACTAAGGAGGATAGAGCAAGTGGATCTCTGTGAGTCCAAGGCCAGCTTAGTCTACATAGTGAGCTCCAGGCTAGCCAGAGTTATATGGTACAACTCTGTCTCGAACAAAAATAAAAAGTTTTAATAAAATAAAAACTCAGTAGCAATCACCACTGTAAGTTTGACAATAATCAAAAATTGTCTAGAAATTTTTTCTAGTGATAATCTGGGATACAATTCAGATAGCTTAAACTGAAGTTAAAATACATGTGAAGAAGTGGGAGTTGAATTGTATAACAGCAAGTCCTATTTTTAATATATAACTTCCAGAATCCAGATGTGGTGCTGTTGCCATTTTCAGGGCACCTACCTTCACCCTCGATATAAATCTAATCAACTGGACAGCGAAGGCAGCCCTAGTGCAGCAGTGGGTGCATAAATCTACCTTCCAACATCACCGATATAAAACGGTTTACAATAAGGGGATGCCCGGCTGAATTCAGAAAGAAGACACTACATAAACATCCTCACCAAACACTTGCCATTGTGAAATTTTCAGACAACAGGACAATTGGCTCCCATTGGAGCAAGAGAAGAAAGGACTGTGGAAGTCGGATCTCTGGGTAACAGGTGGGAGGGGGAATTAGTAAGTCATCTGCTCTGTTTGGCCGCTTCCAAGAGTAACACTGATAGGCTAGAAGCTTGGAAATTCTGACAATGAACTTGGCTAGATACCCAGCAGAGCAAAGCAATTATGAACTCTGAGGGGAAAGTAAAACATTTTATAAGCAAATGAAAACAAACATGGAGGAGGGGGAATAGTGAGAACTAAGCAAAGGGAAAATAATTTCCATCTGTAGGACAAAGAAAGACCTTGGAAATGGGGAACTGAAGATGTGCTCTCAACTAACTTCTCTAAAGTGTTGTTTTGTAAACAGCTAGTGTTTAAAAAAAAAAAAGAGAGAGAGAGAGAGATACAGGGCAGAGGTGTTGCTCAGAGGCAGGGAGGATACTTCATGTGCAAGGCTCTGGGTTCAAGCCTCGGTGCCACCAAAATATAAAGAAAAACATACAAAGGCAAATGAAGAAACACTTCCCTGTTGACACAGGAGAGCAGCCTAGCTATGAGTAGAAAAACAGTTTTAAAACTAGAGTTAGCATTATTTAGCCTTTCCACATGTTACAATACTTCCTCTCAAAACATTACTAGCAAAACTTAAGTTAGAAAATACCATGTGATCTCCTTTTCTCATCTTCTGGTTCCCAGCAGAGCCTTGCCCGTGGAAAAATAAAATAAAAACTCAGTAGCAATCACCAGTGTAAGTTTGACAATTATCAAAAATTGTCTAGAAATTTTTTCTAGTGATAATCTGGGATACAATTCAGATAGCTTAAACTGAAGTTAATATACATGTGAAGAAGTAGGAGTTGAATTGTATAACAGCAAGTCCTATTTTTAATATATAACTTCCAGAATCCAGATGTGGTGCTGTTGCCATTTTCAGGGCTATGGTGGGAATCATACAAGTGAGGGAGGCCCAGAATGTTTGGAATGTGCTTTATTGCGTAAGTTACTTAAAATCTACCTTCCAATCACACATGTTAGCCTGGACCACACTCGGGCTCTGTACAGCCATCCCTGATCATGATGGTCAAGGTTTGGTCCAAATTGTTCATGACACTCCTGAGCTAGTGAGCTCCATGACTGAGCCACTTGGTATGAGCAGTCAAGGAACCTGCTCAGGCATTCACCTCCAAGAATCCACCATCCATGTCAACTGATCTCCACACTTTCATAAACTGGCCACGCTTGCCATTCCTGCCCATCCAGTGCACCCAGGCTGAGAACAAAATCCCCTCTTCCCATCTTCATTTCAGTTGGCCTTTCATGAATCTTCATTCATATATATATATATATACATATATATATATATATATATATATATATACCCATGCAAGTCCTCTGTCCTTCCTATTAGTCCCCTTGTTCCCCTAAGCTGTTAGATTTCTGCTTTCATATCATAGCTCTCTGTATGTGTGCCTGCACCTGTGCATGCATGCATGCATGTGTGCATGCGTGTGGGCATGCCTGTGTGTGAGAGCCACAAAGAAGTCAACCAATATTTGTGTGTCTGAGTCTGGTTAAACTCACCCCACATGGTTATCTCCAGTTGCATCCATTTTCCTGCAAACAACACAACTTTGTTCTTTACAGGTTAAAAAAAAAAAAAAAAAAAAAAAAAAAAAAAAGCCCCACTGAACATGCATACATTTTCTTTACCCACTCCCCTGTTTTTGGACACCTAGTTTGGCTCCATAAATTAGCTACTCTGAACACTACTATAATAAACACTGCTGTATGAGTATCTCTGTAGTACATTAAATTGGATGCCTGTGAATTCCTCAGCCACCCAGGAATGATGCAGCTGTGTCATATGGGGTATCTATTTCGAGAAACCTCCATGCTGACCCAGTGGCCACACCAATTCAGATCTCCACTGGCAGTGCACAAGGCTCTCTTATGTCCATATCCATCAGCATTTGCTGCTGCTTATTTTCTTAATGCCTGCCACTCAGGTGGGGTGAGATGGAATCTCAGTGTAGTTTTGATTTGTATTCCTCGGAAATTGCACTGCTAGTGAGGTAGAGCATGGGTTCATGTTTATTGTATTTTATCTTCTGAGAACTGTCTGTCCATTTCCTTAGCCCATCTATTGCCTGGGTTGTTTGATTGTCTTGTTGTTCAGCTTCTGGAGTTCCTTTTGTATACTAGTTGTTAATGCTCTGTCAAGTGTGTAGCTGCTGAAGAATCCTTCCCATTCTATGGGCTGCCTCTTTACTCAACATTTTCCTTTGTTATACACCTTTTCATTTCACGGGGTCCCACTTTTGAATGTTGAGCACCAGAGTCTTGGTGAGAAAGCACTTGCCTGTGCCAATATCCTGAACTATTTTCTCTAACCCTTTCAGAGTTTGGGGACTTAAATTAAGGCATTAGATTCTTTTAGAGTTGAATTTTGTGCAGGGCAGGAGATAGGAATGTAGTTTTATTCTTCTGCACGGGCTATCCAGTCTTGTATTGTTCTCCAGTTAGAATATAAAGTTGGCTACAGATTTGTCACGGGCAGCCTTTATTTTGAGATGCATCTCAATGGTCATGTGATTTACTTCAGATTGTTTCTATGACATATTACATTTATTGATTCACATACATTGACCTACCCTTGCATCTCTGGGATGAATTACTGTGGTGAAAGGCATTTTCAATATGTTCTTGAATTCCATCTGCTGGCATTTTACTGGTGAATTTTGCATCTGTGTGCTCCGTGAAATAATGAGAGATGAAGTGCCATCAAACTCTGCTTGCAAAGTCAGATTCATCCTGATACCATTAGTCTACACTTTTGCTTATTGTTGTGTCTGACTGCTCTTGGTATCAGGATGATGCTGACTTTGTAAGCAGAATTTGGCAGCACTCCATCTTTCATTATTTCATAGAATAGTTTGAGAATGGTTGGTGCAAGTTCATCTTTAACATTCTGGTGAAATGCAGCAGCAGGT